TAAATGTGAGGGCTTCATACCTCCACGACGTCCCTGTCCCAGCACTACATTAGGTACAAGGCTGCCCGGATGGAGTCTGAGGTGGGGCATGAAAATGTAAATATTGGGCTGAATGAATGTTTGCAAGCCTGTAGGTTGCTTTTCTGTTTCTGTAAACACAAAGAAAAAGGGATAGAGGCATGTGGTGTTATAGTTAGCACAGTTAGCACACAACATGCTAATAGGCCAGGTAAAAATATCTGATTAACTTTCATATGTATTTTGTTTCCTATACATACAGGAAACTAAATAAATAGGAATTATGGCAGACAGACCTGTGCTCCTGTGTCAACCATCAACTGCAACTTCTGTAGATAAACTGCCCGTGGTACATTACACAGAGAGAAACCTGGATGATCTCCTTACGTTTTACAAGTCAAATGACTTAGGTCCACATTTCTTTTGATTGTGTGGAAATGCTTAAACAAAGTACAGTTTCAGCTAGAGGTCTCTGTTGTGACTTTTTTTTTTCCTTCATTAAGCCAAAAAATGCCAATTTAATTAACCAGATTCAGAGAAATCCTAGAAATACTGTGTATTCACCATTGCATGAACACTGACATTTTAACCCTGGAGAAACCATGGGGTCAAATTTGACCCCATGGTTTCCTAGTAAACCAATGGGGTCAGAGCCGACCCCATTGGTTCTCCAGGGTTAAGAAACATTTACAAAGTTTTAATAGGGTTGAGGTCAGGGCTGTGGCAAGGCCATTCTGAAAGAATAATGTTAGCCTGCTTCCATTCTAAAAGCAGCTTTGCTGTGTGTTTGTCCTGTTTGAACATTTAATTGTGTCCAAGTTTCAATCAACTAGCTCTTCATCTGATGTTACGTTAAAGAATTTAGAGCTAGTCCTCCTTCATTGTTCCGTCCACTTTGTGCAATGTTCCACTACCACTGGTGTCAAAAAAGCCCCAGAGCATGGAACCGTCACCACCATGCTTCACATTTGGCTTTACTGTTTAGGTTTGAAAGCCTCACCTTTACTCCTCCAAACATACCTTTGTCATTACAGCCAGATAGCGCAAGCTGCAAATTCCAGTCAAGCTCGAAGGGATCAGTTTTAGAGCAGAGGCCTTTTTTCTTGGCACGCCCTCCGTCCACAGCAATATAAAACTAACTTCAGTTCGGCAGGCTTGAGCCTCGTTGGCCTCTGAGTTGTTCTGAACCAATTTCCTCTCATCTGAGAGTGACACTTTGGGTCTTCTTCCAACTGAATAATCTGTACCAACTTACAGTTGTTTGAATTCATGACCTTGGAACCTCCAGTTGCTTAAAAAATGTCTCCAACAGATCTTCCAAACTACAATTTTTCCCCTTAGATCTTCGCTGAGTTACTTGGCCTATTATTCAGTCCAATAAATGCCATCAAACAGTGCAGTCGAACGAACTGCCAGTTTGAGTCAATCGTGATCACTAATAAGAAATGAACAGGCCTTGGCAAGTTCAAAGATGCTGTAGAACTTTAGCACCATGATTGTCTTTTTTATTGTTTTTTATCATTCTTATTACAAAGTTAAGAAATCTGTGTTTAAAGTTGAGTCCAGTGTTGCCTTACACATAAAAGAATGATTCCCAGTGAGTGGAGAATAGCATTGGTCAGTACATGCTATCCAGCATGGACTGTGTTCAGTGTTTTCAGCTTTAGGTCTGTTGATGCTGTGTACTGTATCCATGTAGTTATCTTTTTTGTTTCTAATATCTTGCTCTTATGACGCATTTCCAAAGACATTTGCCTTTATTCAAAGTCATAAAAACAAATAGTGCTGGGTTCTCTGCTACCCACCTTTAAAGCCTGTCCTGTTGTGGACAGAGTAAAGATAGGTGTCGTTGCCAGTTTTGGAAAGGTTCCTTAGCTGTTCCAGGATGCTGCTGAGATCCTGACTGACCTGCCCCCCCAGCTCCTCGGCCACCAGCAGACGCTTGTACAGGATCTGCAGGTCAGGCATCACTGTTGAACCTGGATGCATACAGCAAAGTTTAAAGAGTTAAGACACACTAGTTGTCAGCAAACTGACTGCTTATCGGTTTAATTTCTAACTTAAAGTCACATCATTCCATAATAACCGCCCACCTTAAGCAGATATGTCCCTTCAGATGGTGGAAAGCCTAACTTGAGTCAACTTTCCTTATTTTATCTGAATGACCACAGAAAACAAATAAATATGCAAATCTTCAAAGAAGTTGGAATCAGTAAGCTTTTGTCATCTTTGCTTGGGAGCTGGCATTTCAGCATCTCCCCATATTTTTGTTTTCACAATGACATTCATGTTTCTAACAGACGCTTCTCTCTCTGTTTATACACCAGGCAGCTCTATTTATAGTGCAGACACGTCTGCAGCACTTGAAGAGATTCTTGTTTTCAATCACTCCAATCTCTTTGTTCAACTGCTTTCAACTCTCCGACATCAACGTTCACTCACGGAACATTTTCATGTAATCAGTTCACACTTTGTGCTTTTATCTGCCACTTTTATAAATGACAGTTGATTACTTTTGAAAGGACATGTTACACGTTCAACAATCAATTTTTTTTATATGCATGAATGACTTTGAGTTTTCCTAAGCTGTAGAGGCTCTTGGGGTCACATTAGTATTAGGGATGGGTACTGGGTTCTGACATAAATGGTAGTAACCAGACCGAAAAGCAGCGCACATTTCGGCAGAGATGGGCGGTAATGTGTTACTTGTAACGACGTAATGGGAAACTCACAGAGAAACTCGCGGATTCTTCCACTGACCGCGGCACACCTGCACCAGGGTAAACCTCC